TAACTAATGATATACGTACATCATCTGAGAAGTAAGCTAGTGCTTCTGTATAGTTTCCTTTTGCAGCGTTTAGAAGTCCAAGATTTCTAAATAGCCTTGACTTAATTTGGTCCTCACAGCCYGGAGTCTTGAGTGCTGTCCACTCAGCTTGTGCAAGGTATTCCTCGGCTTGATTTAGTTTACCCAAACCTAACACAGTTACAAGACACTTTTACTATCAATTATAATCTTTATGATGATGATGATTCTAATGTATATAATTATAATGTGCAAGTCATACCGATACTTCCTTCGCCCAGGATGAGATAAGATGGAACCAGCTCGATGCTGCTCAATCCATAGACATCTATCGAGAACTTTAGCGACTGTAAGGCGGCAGGTACAGCCCGGTCATATTTGCCTTCAAATAACAGTTTTTGACCCGTTGTACGACACAGATGAATCATATGTTTCTAAATGAAAGTAGTTTGTTATAGATAAATAATGAGATCATTTTTGAAACGCAATAATAATTCAGTTCAAAGTACCTTTCGTGTTATCTGCAATTGTTTTCGTTTTTGTCGTTCGTCTTCCGAGTTCAAAAAAGGGATCGGCGATCTTAAAGCCATCAAAAGTTGACAAATCTTTTCGTGTATACCCAGCCAGTCAGCTTTCTGGTGTTCTGGTCCGCTAAAGTTAAGTGAAATTTAAGATTAGTGTCATCATTCACACTGTGGTTAAACCTAAAGTACTTACCAATAATACGTCACTCTGCAATCCATACACTGCACGAAAGCTGGCTTTTGACACAGTTCGCATAATAATTTAACCCCTTTTGGGTTCGCTAAAGGGTTTATACTATTCATCTTGAGATAAATCTAGTCAAAATTGTGAGATTTCGATCAAACCTCCGTTTATTTGTCCGCCATCTTGTATTTACAKATGTCGTCAATAACAACGATGACTGCTGACCATTTGTTTGCGGGCAATGCGCGCAAACATAAAGCCTGGATCTAGTTTATTTACGAGAGATCTAATGACTTGCCCTCTTCCTAAATTACAATTCCTTTCATCAGATGTCGATGGATTTTTGCGAGAATCTTTCAAAAATCAAGAGGTATTTATTTATGTTTACAGTTTTTGCCACAGTGCATGTTATAGCCATTTTTAAAAACAGCTGTTTAAAAACAGCTTCCAAAATGGCGCGTCGTTTGAATTTTATTAGATCTTTATAGTGCTTATTTGTAATTATATCCATGCCATTTTAGGTTAATTGGTTTGATGTGCTATTAAAATGTCTTGGTACACCRCCATTGTACACGACAGTACGAGTCAACACTTTAAAAGTTTCTGTCAAAGATGCAAAAACTGAACTGAAAGCCATCTTAGACAAGGTTAGAAATTGATTTTGAATCATATTTTTCTAAATCTTTCTGATATTGTTTTGYAAAAACCTTTTTTTAGCAATGTCAAGAGAAAGACTGGCCAAGTTTCATTGTCAACACTCATTCTGATATCTCAGACATACTGGTAATACCTGGAACTGGTCCAGAAMGATGTATTCCTGTTGACAAGGAGATCATAGTAGATGTGCATTGTGGGACAGCAGTGCTTAGAGGTGCTGATATCTTTGCGCCTGGCATAATAGGTGCACATACAGGTATATTACAGCAGTACAACAATATCCAGAAATTATGATCCTTTTTTGCTCATATTTCAAGATAAAAAATATATCAGAAATTAGCGGATATCATCGCCAATGTTTTTTTTCTGAAAGTTTTACAGTAGAACTAGTCAACTAGTCAAAAAATATTGGCGATGATGTCCCATATTTCGACATATTTTGTATATCAGCCACTTCCTCATACGATTATATTTTGTATATTATATATGTACGTGGAATATGAGCAAAAAGAYCATAATTTCTGCATATTGCTATATAATAAACATAATTTAAATTTGACTTACTAGTACTGCACCCTGATATGCTTGCTTTACTTGAAAATGGAAATTACTAAATTRTTATTGTTTCTATAAAAAGTACTGAGCACACATTGCTTACAATTTCCAGGTATCCGTAAAAATGATACTGTGTCTATATATGTCGATCTGGAAACCAAATGCCGAAAAGGATTTGCTAAACCATATTTGGGCAATAAGCTGTTTATTGGGAATGGTGTTGCAGTCATGTCAAGAAATGATGTGTTTTGTGATGGCCTGGATGTGAGGTGAATAAAACAATAATTTATATATTAGTTCTTATTCACAACTTTCCATACTCAGGTTCAGTGACTACAAACAAAGCATTGAACCAAGGTGTCAAAGAACATTGCACACAGATAATTTTTTTTGTGCCCATAGTACCTTGGTGCCTCGGTTCAATGGCCGCAGAACCTGAGTATGGATCAAAGGTCATGAATTTACAGTCATATTCACAATTATTGTATTCAGAAGAAGGTTAATAATGAGAGTGTTTAGCCACCACAGGCATCCCAATCCTGCATAGGATTGAAGATCATTTGTGCAAGAGAAAGTAAACCAGTATAAGGTTAAAGTCTTATAAAGTAAGTCTAATAATTGTTATTTCATGATTATCTTAAAGTGGTGTTGCTGTCAAAATGACCAGTCCATTGTACAAGTGTCCCTCTCTGAGTAACATTCTTACTGGTTTGGTTTTCCCTCAAAATCTTCCATCAGTCATAGTTGGACATATACTTGGTCCTCTGCCTGGTCAGACTGTCCTGGACATGTGTGCTTCTCCTGGTAAATATGAAAACTTGCTGAATGTCTACAGAGTGGATCGAATGCATATCGCACTGATTTAGGTTATTTATATCGGCTGAATGCGCATCGAATACGTCTCGAACTGACTTAGACTGTTTATATAAGGTGGGCTGAGTGTCTACCGACTGGATCAAATGCGTAACGAACTGATTTAGGCTATTTATATCGGCTGAATGGGTATCGAGCTGACTTAGTGCGGTACAGTATCATAGTCTAGCTAGTGTTATAGTGTACCTAGTGCAATATAGTATCATAGTCTACCCAGTGTTATAGTGTACCTACACCAGTAGAGTATCATGGCCTACCACTATAACACTAGGTAGACTATGATACTGTACCGCAGTAGGTACACTATAACACTAGGGAGACTATGATACTGTACCGCACACGGTACACTATCGCACTAGGTAGACTATGATACTGTACCGCACACGGTACACTAACGCACTAGTTAGACTATGATACTGTACTGCACACGGTACACTATCGCACTAGGTAGACTATGATACTTTATACAACTTTTCAGTAAAATCAGACGTTTTGATTGGTTGGCTTTCGTGTGTTATTAAGTATAGATACACGGATTACGTCAAAACTAATTGTTTGTTGTATAAAACAGATAGATCTCATTTTTCCGTGCGTGTGTACTCTAATAGATACACAGATGACGTCAAAATGTAGTGAGAACAACAGTCACGCACTCGACTGCGTCTCGTGCGTACTTTTTTGTTCTCACTACATTTTGACGTCATCTGTGTATCTATTAGAGTACACACGCACGGAAAAATGAGATCTATCTGTTTTATACAACAAACAATTAGTTTTGACGTAATCCGTGTATCTATACTTAATAACACACGAAAGCCAACCAATCAAAACGTCTGATTTTACTGAAAAGTTGTATAAAGTATCATAGTCTACCTAGTGCGATAGTGTACCGTGTGCAGTACAGTATCATAGTCTAACTAGTGCGTTAGTGTACCGTGTGCGGTACAGTATCATAGTCTACCTAGTGCGATAGTGTACCGTGTGCGGTACAGTATCATA